ATGGAAGAAGGGTTCTGTCACCGTCTTTGTTCGCCGGTAATCGAACAAGGGTTTCGTTTGGGGGTGATGAAAAGAAAGAAGAAAAAGAGAAGGGAATGAATGATTGAGTGCCAAAATAAAATAGCAGAACGTGTGGGCTTTTAACTTAGTGGGCTTATTCACTTTCACACCAACCATTTGTTTAAGGCAGATGATAAATACACCTCCACTCTTGTATAAACACACCCTCTTTTTAAAAGAAAATATATAAAATATCTATATTACCCTTAAAAAAAATAAAATTCTTAAATTTACACCTCCTTTTCTTGCACCTCCGTTCCCCGCACCCCCACACCCCCCTTCCCTTCACTCCAACAAATCGGCGTCGTTTACAGAGGAGAAACCCTCGCAACCATCCCAACCAATACCTCCTATATTCTTCTAACCTAAACTTGCTATGCTATATTTATACCTTGCTTTCTGAACCACACCCTCAAACCAATCACAATCACAAACCATGACTTTCTTTACTTGCTTCTTTTTCTTCCTTCTTGCTTCATCAGCCACTGCTTGTGATCGCTGCCTTCAACAATCCAAGGCTTCCTATTTCTCCAAAGCTTCTGCTCTTTCATGTAATTACCAACATTCATTCGTTCATTACTATCTTCAATTTTCTTATAAAACGATGTAATTAATTTATTGTGTGAATTTGACATGTGAAGCTGGGGCATGTGGGTATGGCTCTTTGGCACTAGGCTTAAGTGGTGGACACCTTGCAGCTGGTGTGGCTTCTCTCTTCAAAGATGGAGCCGGTTGTGGTGCCTGCTTTCAGGTATGTACACAAATCAGGACCACTTCCAATTTCCAAGTTCTAACCAATTTTTTTATTTGTTAGTTATTATTGTCATGAGTCATGACTAATGAACATTTTTTATATATGTGGCAGATACGATGCAAGAATCCAACTGTGTGCAGCAAAGAAGGCACCAGAGTGGTGTTGACTGATCTCAATCACAATAATAAAACTGACTTTGTGCTCAGCAGTAGAGGGTTGCGAGGGTCTCTCCTGCTGGTTGGGATGGTTGCGAGGGTTTTCTCCTGCTGTAAACGACGATTTGTTGGGGGTGCGAGGAAGGGGGTGTGGGGTGTGGGGAACGGGGGTGGAAAAAGAAGTGTAAATTTAAGAGTTGAAAAAGAAGTGTAAATTTAAGAGTTTCATTTTTTATAAGGATAATTTAGACATTTTATATATTTTTTTTAAAAAAGGGGTGTGTTTATACAAGAGTGGAGGTGTGTTTATCATCTGCCACATTTTTATTACAGACTACATTTTCTTTCGTTGGTAAAAATAACAATACTTTTCTCACCTCAGCTCACCGGTTTGATTTTTCATGCCTCCAATTTTATTGTTTGCTTTTTTGTTTTTTTTTTCCCTTTTAACAATCTGGACGTAAATATATCATTTTACTCAAATCTACCACTTCCTGGACGAAAATCTCAACAATTGACGTTTGACAGGAAACCTTGTGATGACAGAAAATCATCCATCATACAGAAACTACCATTTTACATGAATCCGTCAAAATATCATTCCGGAAACATGATTGTTTCCCTAAAGACATCTTCACCCGAAGATTTCAGACCAGCTAGCTATATAGAGTCCACTATCATTTCACCCTGCTGCTTTGCCATGTATCTTTCCCTCCTCTCTTTCTGGAAACAAACAAAATCATTGATTTAGATTTAGATGAAGCATTTGTCAAAACAAAGTGACATATATATTGCAAGGATAACTTTTCCTATAAATAAACCAAGTATGCATACTCACCCATTCATCTATGACAAGCCCTTCCCCGATAATCTTTGTACCTGCATCTTCTGGGACTTTCTTACGTGCCTCAGCTGCAGCATCAGCCTCAGCCAGCTGAACCCTCAGTTTTTCCAAAGCCTTAATAAAACAATTACAATTTCATCGGTAGGCAATTTGTTACTGTATAGTATACTTGGCAAGCTTATAAACATGTACATCAAAATAAGAAAATATTTTTTTAGGATAAAACTCTAATTTGGTTCCTTATAATATTAAAAAATTTTAATTTAGTCCCAATTTATTTTAAAATTTTCAAAGTGGGACTTCTGGTCAAATTTTACAAACGGTCCGAGAGAATCACGCCCGTGATTCCACAATCACAGCCATGATTCTCACGACCTGAGAACCACCTAAGATTAAGAGATGCGAAAAGAAGTGGTGAGAATCTCGATCGTGAGAATCACAGCCGTAATCACAGGTGTGATTCTCTCGGACCTTTAACATCGTTTGTGAAATTTGAACGGAAGTCTTACATTTAAAATTTTAAAATAAATTGGAAAAAAATTAAAGTAAAACTAAATTAAATTTTTTTAATGTTATATAGAACTAAGTGCATGTTTGCATTCCATTTGTAACATGAAAATTCACGTTTACTTGAATCAAAAAAATCTTGCTTCTACGTAAATATAACATTAGATGTGAAAAGAGAATGCATAATCCGCGTTTCAAAATAAAATCCAAACATGCACTAAATTAGGATTTTAGCCTACTTTTTACCAAACAAAAGTACAATGTCTCAAAAATGGTATGTTTGGTTGGAAAGAAACACAAGAGAGGAAGGGACAACAGTAGGTTTCCTCATTTTCCCTTTACGCAACCCTTTCCTCCCTTGGATAAAAGTAAAACAGACAGTGAAGCAACAAATACTTTAGTGAATGCATTTGGAATAATTTATTTACAGTTTATTTGGAATTATAAGTACTAATGTAGTAAGAGAGAGTAGATAGGACAAACAAAAAAGTCACGATTAACATGCACGAATATTGCCACAAAGTACAAATGAAACTTAAAAAGTTCAGCACTTACAGGACTATTACGCTCTGGATCGAGAAACACAACCCGCAAAATCTGCTCCACTGTTACTTGATCCTTCAGCTCATCAAACTGTTTAGAGGAAGAACAAACCCACATGATTCAAAACAAAGCTAAATAAACGGTTGATATATAAAGAGAAAAACAAAGTATATACATACAACAACTTATTTTGATTGTGTCCAGATTTCATAATGTGTGTATAAGAGACAGGGGAGAGGGACTTGGGAGAGAGAAAGAATCCACCCAAAAGAAATTGAAACAACTGATAAAGAAATAACTAACCATTTCAGGAACATAATCAATTAATCCTTTCACCTTCAAGCTCATGATTTTAAACTTTACAGTTTTTTGTAGCTTTTCATTATTGTCTGCTGGATGCTCTATGAACTTGAACACTAGCAAACCAAATAAAAAATAGTGAGATAACACCACCTTATAACAATGTTATGGTCCACAGAAAGAAATGAAACATTAATTATTACCAGTTGCAATTATAGTCTCGCCAGGTGCAAGAAGGGCACCAGGAGGGCGCATGAAACAGCTTTTGGGTGCCGTTGTTTGAAACTAAACATACAGAATAGGTCAATAGAAAAAAAAAAAGAATGAAAAATCATTGGTTTATTCAGATGAACAAGTGTGAGAAAGTAATGTCCAACATAATAGATAGTTGATTTGAAGAGTGAGAGAAAGTGAGGCAGTAACATGAATATGCAAAAGAGGAATTGGGCATGGATAAAGAGTAAAGAGGAGCATATTTTTGAGCATACCTTGAAAGCTACATTGGATTTGCTAGTGTTTTTAATCTTGATGGCACTCTTAACCTGCTTGCCCGGTTCATCTAGACAAGAGAGGAAACAAGGATGATTAGCAAAGCGAGTAAAAAGAGAAATTGATCTGAATCAAAAGAAAAAAGGATGGAAGAAGAGGCATACAAGGGAAGTAGAGGTTATTGGAAGGATCGAGCTTGAGACGACGTCGTGTGGGGAGGAGCGATCTGGCGAGGGAAGAAGCGGAATTGGAGGTGGAAGGGTGAAGCCTGAACAAATTCCACACCTTAGACTCCGATTGTGCCTTGTTTTCACCTACGGCCATGCCTCGTAACGTGTAATTCCTTCACTCTCATACAATAATAAGAATTAAGAATGCAACACTTAACACTATATATAGTAAAGGTGGTGGTTGACCCACTCTCTAAAGCTGAAAAACAAAGCACAAAGTCTTGGTGTGGTGGTGGGTCCCACAATTGCGGTGTTCACGGTGGGAAAACTAACAACCCAAGTCCACGGATTTTGGTCTTCTTTTTCACTGCTATCCACTTCCTCCTCTTATTTCACATCCCAATTTCTATTTTTAAAAATAATTAATGTTGTAAATTTTTAAATGATATATAAAATTAGTAATTTATTTGCATAATCTATTTTTGACTTAACTATGTTGTGTCTTAAACTTTTATTTTATTGCGAATTTTGCTTTCAAATAATTTTTTCACTGAGTTTTACTCTTGAATTTTGATAGTGTTGCGAATTTTGTATACTTCTTCACCTGTCTGATAAAAAAAACAAAGGAAATGTTGATGTGACATTTAAGCTTAGCTAGATTTGCGCGAATGCATATATAAATATATAAGATATAATTTTATAATATTAAAAGAATTTAAAATTATTACATAAAATTATAAAATTAAATAATTGTAAAATATTTATTGAAATAAAGAGAATGTAAAATAAATATGATATAATTACATCTACTTCATATATAAATATATGAAGTGAGTCAATAATACCTGGAAAAAAATGAGATGTATAATAACAATTAGATATTTATATTAGAGTGATATTAATTTATTATGCAATAGATGAATGTAATTGTGATAAATTTAATGACGAAAATTTCTCTATTATCACTGATATAAGCATCATAATTTCTTTAGTGACATTTCTAAAAATTATGTATAAATAATTCTTATATGTAAATAATTTTTTACATGTTAAAACAGTTCTATAATCAATATTTTATGTTCTATATATTTATATAAAGAAAAATTGATTATAAATTTTATGTTCATGATATATGAAATAATTTGTGTAATTGAAAGAAAAATAACACAATTTAATAATAATAATAATGATAATGTTTAATTAGAAATAATTATTTTTAGTTATTTCAATGATTTATGAATTATATTTTTAAATTTAAACAATTGAAGTATATTGATAGGTTATGAATGAGTTTTATAAAGTATAAAATAAAAATTTATTTTAAATATATGTATATGATGTAATCATTGAAGAAAATGATAATAAAAAAATTAAAGTTAATAATAAGTATTTTAATAAAAATAATTAATTTAGAAAATTGAGTCACAGTGAAACATAATAATAGTGTTAGAATTATATTTGTATTAAGTAATTGATAAATATAGTAATAATTAACTGACAATTATATATTACTAATTAACTTGTAATTAAGAGACTCTTTTTTTTATTAAGATGTCAGTTTTTATAAATTTATTTCAATAAAAATTATTAACTAATTATTAACAAATTTTCTTTTTTTCTTTAGGAGTGTTCTTCTTTTTTAATGTAATTGTAAGTTTTTAAAAATATTTTTATCTAAGATTCATTGTCATGTGATTGAAGCCGAGTGGAACCCGATAATATATATACTTATTTTCTTTATATATAATTATTTAATCTCTTTCATTAAAAAAATTCGATATTTTCAATTTTTTTAGATTTTATATAAAGAATTGGTGTTTGATTTGTTAAATAATTCAATAATGATTTTGAGACTAATTTGAGAATCCATTATTTGGTTATCATATTGAAATTAAAAGGAAAAAAATTCAATAACTTAATATAATAATAATGTATAAATAAAAAAGTTATTTTTAATACTTTTATAATGTATTATACATTATACATTTAAGAGGTGATAATCAAATTAAAGTTTATAATAAATAATTTAATAATAAATAATCGATTCAGACAATTGTATCACAATATATAAGATATAATAATTATATTAGAATTTAAATTAAGTAATTAATATTTGTAAATTTAATTTATATGTGATAATGTTGCTATAATTTGTTTTCAGTAACTAATAACTTAAAATTTTCAATATTAGAAGTTATGTATTAATAATTAACTTGTAGTTGTTTTTCTTATTATAAATATATTGATAATTAATTTGTAATTAAGGATTCAATTTGATTTGATACATCAATTATAAGAAAAATAACTCGATAAGTATTATTAATTTCTATGATCGAATAGAATCACGAAGTTTTATGCTTGATTTGAAAAAAAAAGTTAAAATTAATTTTTTTAAAACATTTGTTGACTTGCCAAATAATTCAATACTGATTTTAGTACTAATTTGATAATAATTTTTAATTAAAATAAATAGTCATTGTTTATGCTTTTAATGATTGAAGTGTTGTATTATTAAATTAAATTTTATTTTAAAATAGAAACTAATTTATTTTTTTACAGCAAAAATAGCAACTAATTTAAATGAATTTAATTATATGTATATGTATCATACAATAATGTGGAAGATAACAAAATTAAAGTCTGTAATAAATATTTAATTAATAAAAAATAATTTAGACAATTAAGTCATAATGAAGCATATTAATTGTATTAAAATTTATATTGAATAATGATATTTTAAATTTTAATAATCATTTTAAAATTAAAGTTTATAATAAATATTTAATATACAATAATTAATTTAGACAATTATATCATAATGAAATATAATAGTTGTATGAAAATTTGTTTAATGTTATTTTATAAATAGATAGATAGATAAATTGTATTTTATGCTTCAAATTTTTATTTTGACACAAACTATTTAATATTAATACATGTGATATTTACATTAATGTGTTGAGTTATCTTATATGAATATTAATATAAATTCAAAACAATCTTTTACAATCATGCCAAGTATAGTATAACAAAAAATCACAATTCACAAGTATTCTAAAAAATTTAGAGACAAATTTTTTGAAAAAAATTATTTTTAGATAATTTATAAATAAAGTAAAAGTTTGGGCACAAAATATAACTAAACATAATGTCATGTCAATATTCTGTTTATATTTTGACAAACAATTACCTGATGATACAATTCACCTCATTCACATAGTTTGATAGGACAAAATGTAATTAAGTTTAATATCATGTTAGTATTTCATTAGCAGCATTCTCAAATAAAAGACAATTAATTGCTTCGTATTTTAATGGTTTGAGAAGTGGGAATATTCAATTAAATGTGCATTTATAATATTTGATAGGATGAGCATCACCCATATGACCAGAATATGTGATGTGAATGTGATAGTGCCGTAATGCAACTGAACTGCACAGACACAATACAATAGAGCTTCCAAACGTGTCTGGCGTGAGGAATGTCTCCTCACTCCTCAGTGATGCGGGAAACGTTTTTTCTATTTATTATTGTTTTGCTAAAATTGGCGGCTCTGCCCAACTGCCCAAGAAGATAAACAGTTCACATTTTTTAATTGACTCGCCTTTAGACGTGGAAAATGACTATATAAGATGCGAGTAGTTACATTTGGTTATGTGTGAAATGAAGAAAAAAAACATATTGCTATTTTAAAATAAATTAAAATGTTAGATATTTAAATATACATTAATAATAAATACATCTTCACTTTACACGTCCTTTAATTTAAACTAAGTTGCGAGTTACTCTCCAAGTCGCTTAAGAGACATCAATAATAAGGGTTGAAATACAAAATATAAGAGAAAATATGAATTTGTTTTTAAATTTAAAAAATGATGCATTTTTATTTTATTAAAAAGAATGAAGTTAAACAAAACAAAATATAATTATATTTTTTCCACGCGACAAATGTGTTGGCTCAATAAATTAAATTTGCTAATTGGTGAGTTTATTTTAAATAAAAATATTTTGACTTGTATTATATATATTATTAGGTTAAGATATCGTGTCTCAATTTACTTATAAAAAAAGAAAGTTTTTTTTGAGACAATTGTATATTACCTATAGTAAGAGAATAGAAGAAAGAAAGTTTATTTTAAATGAAATTTTTTTATTTATAATAAAAATATAATTTACAGTTATTTAAAGAAGTTAAGAGACTAAAACCTAAAAAAAAAAAAAAAAAAACTATAAATAAATTGGTTTAATTTTTTTTATGAAAATTGTGAAAAACAAAATGATCCTATTAAATATAAAGATCAAAGTAATTGGAGGAGAAAATATCTTTTTTTACCTAAAATATATTATAGATATATACACACAGAAATTGAATTCAATTAATTGAATTTGAATAGTTTAGGAGTTAATTAAAAATTCAGATCGAGCTAAAAAAGAAAAAACTTTTTATGCAGAAATATAAGCCCGAATCAAGTTTATTCCTTTCATATTCTTGAGCAATATGGTACGTGTTGTTAATCTCCATCCCTCAGATTTAGATAAAATTAAAGATTTGAGATTTTAATCTACTAACTAGTTGGTATTAGATTGCCTTAATTCCCAAGAGCGCCAACAGCATCAGTTTGGTTTGAAGCTTGTTCATATTTCTTAACAATTGTCTAGATTAAGTGTTTGTTCTTCCTCTTGTTTTGGGGAAGATAATACTGGAATCATGATCAAACAATTAAGTAATGATTTTCTTAGTACGTGTTTATGTCTATTTTCATGCCAATTTTGAGGGGGAGAAAGAGTACAAGTTATATGTTGTTGTTTCTCAATTACGCGCGTCTGATTTTGTGTTGATTATCAAATTATTGAGACTTTTGGATTGGAATAAAAAAGGAGAAGCATATGGAGTCACTTTAATGCCATACAAGTCATTAGTCACCATAGACATCAAGACTTGAGATTTTCAACCAAGATCCTTGAAATTATAGCAGTTGTAATTCAATGACTATGAAGGGGAGAAAATACAGTAAAAAGGGGAACTAGAGCAACATCAGCATTCCGAAGAAAAAAGGTGACACCCCTTTTTTGATTAACATAATCCTAGAAAATCTGGTGACTTTAAATAAAAGAAAAGGTAGTAAAAAATTAAAATTGGAACTCGGAATCATCCCATTGAAGAACCGCAGAGCCTAAGTTCTGTTCTCTTTTGAGCTTGTCTTTGAGGAACCAATCACATATCTTGGCAGCATTGAGGTCCTCTATTGGACACCCTTCTTGCTCCGATATCACTCTTAGCAAGTTCAAGGACGATATCTACACCACAAAAAAATAAAATAAAATGAATAAATAGCATGAGAAACAATACATAGTATATAGTTGTGAAGATATGACAAAGACAAACCGTTAAACGGCATAGAAAGCGCTCGTGTGTGCTCAACCCTGATATCTCAACCAAACCGGCTTCTTCGAGTGTCAAAAAGGTTCGCTTCTCGCCCTTGTTTTCTCCACCACTGCATTTCACTTGTACCCCACGTGTTGCCTTCTTTTGTGTCATTAACCATGTTTGTGTTTGTGTTTGTGTTTGTCTAGAGAATCCAATCTTTGAAGGTTTCAAGACAAACTTTGTTTCAAGACATGCGTTATAGGGTCGTAGTGAAATCATTAGTTTTGCTTTTTCTTTTCTTTCTGAGAGTGAGAGCACTAGGATTGATTAGAGAAGAGAGTATGAGTGTTCAGGGTCTCATTCTGGATGGGGCATTTGGGGCTCAAACATTACAACGCCAGAGGGAGCCTTATCTGTTTTTCTTATTATATTGTTTATATATTTTAATTTATTTATTAGTATTTATTATTAAAAAAATAGTTTTACGATAAACATATAAAATAATTAAAAATAAATCAAATTAATATTTTAATTGATAAATTTATTATTATTATTTAAAAAATTTAAAAGATAAATAAAATTTTAAGAAAAATGAGGCTTAAAAAAGAATAAAAGAAGTATTTGGGCCACTTATATTTCAAATACTGGGTTTGGATTACCTCCCAAACTGATTCATGAGTAACGAGAAGGGCCTTTAATATTATTAAGGTGGCCCATCATTAAGATATATCAAATCTGACTACACCTGATGGCTGATATGATAATTTTTTAATATATATTTTGCATAATAATTTTATTTTAAATTTTTCATTACGATATATACAGATAAATATATCCATAAACATGTATATTTTTTTTTTTTATGTAAATGTATCGATTGCTTTACATTTTTCATTTTAAATTTTTATAACTTTTAAACTAGTGAACAGTTTCCAACTTTTTAATCCTCGATATTTCATTTTTTTAGATTTCAAAAAAACTTGCTTTTATCGACTAATTTTCAATCAATTAAGTCAAGGTCAAGCACAGCCTCAGCCACATCATTGTATTTGGTTTCCGTTTCCGTAATGGGATAATTTTGTTAGGGATACTATTGAACATTAAATATATAAACCTCTTAAATTCAAACCAGTAACCATGTTGCAGGGAATTAGCCTCTCTTAGACTGAACCCTCTTCAGCAAGTACAAGCATGATTATCTAAACATGTATTTCAGCATAAATCCCGATGTCCTAATTTCTGTAAAATGTTTATTTTATTTTGTAGTGCTGAAACATTAATAAAAAAAATGTCTAAGTGATTCACCTTAACAGTCGCAAAAAATGAGAAAAGCATAAAGATAGCGGTGTTGCAGTGTGTATAGACTTAAAATCATAATCTGTAAACATTTATACATAGATATAATAAATAAATCCCATAGCTACAAAAATATACATATTTATTGATTGATAAGCATGTGCATGATGCATGTCTTAACTGGGTCAGTTGGGAGCCCAGCAGCTCAAGTACATGACAGTCCTGAGAGAGTCTTCTGCCTGCTTGTTGGCACCTTTGAAGGCAGGTGAGGTTGAGAGGAACCAAGCCTGCTTTGAGGAATTAGCAGAATCCCTCAGAGACTTTATGGTTGAGTCACACTTTGATCCTTGATCTTTCATTCTCATCGCACCCTGGTACAACACCCTGCTCATGTACCTCAAACTCATCGCAATTATCTTTTGCTTTCAACAAAATGATCTCAACACCCAATAACGTATCTGCCAAGTGCAATGTGCAAGGGATATTTATACAACAAAAACGTGGGCTAACCGGACGACAAGGTTAAAACAACCGGCTGTGAATGTCATCGTTTTGTGGGTAGAACTGTGGGCATTTATAATTAATAATTCTGTGGGCCGAGGACACGTGTCGGTTAGCAACGCCACGTAGGATGCTTTTGAAGAGGATTTCTTTACGAATTTGAGCATTAACGGGGAAACGGTCAAAAGTCAAAACGGAAATTAATTAGTGACGGGATAAGAATGAAATAACTTGCTTTGATTGCCTTCGATTATGCCCTTTTTCTTTCTTTTTCTAATTAATCGCCTATTTCTTTCGGCTTTTCACCGTGCTTATCGCTCAGACTGTATGAAGTATACGTATTCAACTCATTCTTTTTATGACGAGGAAGATTCTGGATAATACCATGGTTGTATTCGACTGATTTGTAAATCCAAATCCTTCCCTTTATTTTAACATATTATTTGTCACATCACATCATTAATTATGTTAATTCACGGGCTCGAATATTTTTTTTATCATTTATGATTTGTTTGGTTTAAAATTATTTTTTAGGTTGTTTGATTATGTAATATAATAAAAGAAAAGAAAACAGATATGTATGAAATGATATAAATATTTCCATTGCAACAGTAAATAGGAGTATTTTTTTTATTTTTTATCCACTAAAGTTTTATCTTTTTTCTCTCCAAAAATAAGAAGAAAACATATTTACGTAAATCCTACTATTTTTTTTTTTATACTTTTCTTGTCGATCAAATGACGAAAAGTATTTTGATGAATATGTATTTTTTTCCCTTTCCACTGCTTTTCTTATGTTCCAAACATAGTGGTTGGGATTTTGTTAATATGAGAAATCCTACATGATACTATGTATGAGTTTGTTAAAGGTCGAAGATGTTTTTAATTGAATATTATAGAATCAACTTGAAAAGGTATGAGGTTGCAAAATACAAAATAAGATGTTAAATATATATGATTAAGGTGACTTACCACATTCCTCATATTAAAAATTATCATCTTTGAGTGTCTTAGTATAAGTGATTCAACAATTAATTTAACATATACAAATTCTTATACTATGCTTAGAATTCGAATTTAAAACTTAATCAAATCCCTCAAAATTAGCTAATAAAATATATGAGACTACAAATTAAGATAGACTTGTATCTTACTACCAGTGACCTAGGATTTGTTGGAGTGAGTAGGTTTGGGGGAATGAACATAGGTTAGGTTTGGAACTTGGAAGTAGTCAAATTTCGCCTTATTTCTAATTATAAAGTCCAGTTTAATTGTTTAGTAGATGGAATGCCCGTTCATCATTTTTTTTTTTAATAATCAGTCATTCATCAAATTGAATATAAAAAAATATATTTTGAAGGATAAATTGTATTTGTCCCTTATAATTTTTAATTTGTGATTTTGATTTTACTTTTTTAATTATGTAATTTTGGTCATTTAAAATTTCAAATTATACAACTTTAATCACATTTAACTAATAATTGATGATGATGTGGTACTTTAATGCTAATATGGATTAATGTTGTGACATAATAATTCATCTATACTGATGGTGATAATAAAACACTCGGATGATATAAATCAATAATATGATTTTGATTTAAAAATATAAGATTTATTTAAACTGTATTTAAACCATAAAAAAAGTTTCTTTTACTAACTTAATTAAAAGCTACTATTTAAAAAAATGTTCTATAAAATTAAGTAGCTTAATTTCTTTAGAGTTATATATATATATATAAATAGTGCTTGACCCGACTTTTTCTTCTGAGGAAAGAATAAGCTGAAAAAAAATCGGATTAAATACACCCTTTAAAAAAATAATAAAAGTGATTCTATGAAAACTACAACTCATAACTTTTACAATAAGTTTCATCATTTGAACTACTAGTTCAATTACTTTTATTAAATTATAATTTGAATATATATATATATATATATATATATATATGATTCAAAAGATTATACAAGTGTTGGTAGTTACATTCAAACCCAA